TAAAAAGTCAAAAAATTATTAAAAAAATCAAAAAAATCCATACTATTTGGAGGAAGCATGCGGGGGAAGCGCAGAGGACAAAATTATTATTTTGTCCTTTGAGTTCAACTGTTCAAAAGTCAAAAAGTTAAAAGTCAAAGGTGAACAAAGTAGAATGTTCATTTTAATTTTACTACAATATTTTATTACACATCTTTTCATACAAAGTTAAAAAATTATTTCAAACATACATTTTTTTTTCTATTTTTTTAGTCAAAAAATCAAAAAGTGCACGTATATAGCACATCAAAAATAATCATATCGTTGTATATAAGTAGCTTGAAGTGTGTAAACTGTGAACATTTTCGTTATTTGTTCGAGAGACAAAATGCATTTTGAACCTTGTGTTTTATTTTATGTGTGATTCATCTCATTAAAATTTAAAAATAAGCACATAACCTCTTATTTTTGGCACATATTTTGCACTTCTTGTTAAGCTAAATAGAATGTTTATTAGTCCACAAATCACAAAAAGATTATTTAGTTATTTCTAAATAAGAAAGGTAATCTACACATGAGTAAAAACACAATATGGTAAAGTAAAATTTGCCCTAACTATTAATTATTAATATCATAACTTGAGAATAAATTTCTAAAACAAAAACTGAAAGGTAATTTTCAGCAATACTACAAAATCTCAAATTTTATTCAAAAATTATCGAAAAAAATATTGTTGCAAGATTTAAATTAATCTAAGCCATGAACTCATTATATAATACTTGAATTTTTGGACAAACTTTATAGGCACTTGACTTTTCTGTAGATTGTCCTTTGACCATATCTGAATCATACAATCCAATAACCAAACTAGCTTATAAAGAATCAAGAACAAACACGTGGTGATTTCAATGTAAAGTACTAATATTAATTGGTAAGTTAAGCACCGTTTGAGTACTGCAAAACAATTAGGATTTTCAATTTCGGATTTTCTATCAAATTTCACATTACATATACGTGCATTGAACAACAACCATAGAAACACAAAGCAAGAAATCCTAGATAACGATACTAAAACCAAGAAAATCAAAGAAAAAACAACGAACAACATTTCAATTTAGAAGGTGAATCTATTAGAATAGACGTCAAAGACATTGACTGAGAGGAGGGTTTCAATTAAAATAATCTCAGATTAATGATTGAAATCATAATTTTCAATAAAAGACAAACAAGTTCCCACTTACTTAGAAGAAATTCTATTTCCACGTACATATTGACCTCAATGCACATTATTTATTAGTGCACACACTTATGAATTTAATTAAGTATTATTTGTCTTATTCTACACACCACATATTCCAATTATAACTCTTAACTCGACTACTATACACACACTTTTCATCCAAACATACACCCACACAGCCACCGAAAATTGACAGTGTTCCTTCACTACTCTTCTAGAGTTTCTGGTGAACCAAGTCATGGATCTCTTGCATTCGCTAGAAGCCAACAAAACAATTTTGTGTAGAGATATTTTCTGGGGATTAGGGTTTTGGGATAGTCGATGCAACATTTGGGACAATTTCAAAGAGAGTCATTGACTGCTCATCTCTACCATAACCCATGTTGTAATTTGATCGAAACCCACTTTGAATCGTATAAGCTCCAGTTGTTGTTGTTGCAAGAACAAGATCTTGCCTTCCGTTTTGTTCCTGATTGTGCTGATTCTGATATTGATTCTAATAGTTATCAGATACAGAATTGGAATTCAAATTGTGCAAAGCACAAGCTAGGGTTTATTCTCGGCATGCTGATTGGAAGATAAGGGTTGAATTCTAGCTGAGAAAACTTAAAAGGATGGTTTTCCGACACTGATTCTCTTCGAAGAGGGATTTCTTGGAAAGCAAAGCTCGTTGGAAAATCAAACTGGTAGTTTGCGGCGGCAGCGGCAGATGGGATGATGATGATGAAGAAGAGACCATCTGATTGTTGTTGACGACGGACCATTCAAGATCGTCTTCTTCTCTATTATTCTCCATTGGATTCATAACCGAAACAAATTTAATTAATTCTAGAGAGAGATGAAAAAAAAAGGGGTTTATGGGTTTGTTTGTTGTTGGTGGTGGTAGAGAGAGATGAGATAAGATAGATTGGCTAGGGTTTTGATGTCCATTAGGGTCATTTTATTTTAGGGTATAATTATCGTTAAAATAATTTTTTATTAAGTGTGTGTACTAAGGTAAGTAGGCGTATGAAAATAAAATTTCCCCATACTTGGACTTAGATTTGAGACTCAAAAGGCTTTTTTTGGAAATTAGGGTTTCCATGTTTGAGTTTACATTACATATACGTGCACATATAACAACCATAGAAGTACAAAGCAAGAAATCCTAGACGACGACATCAAAATCGAGAAAATTAAGGAAAAAAAAATAACAAACAACATTTCACTCTATTTATAGAGGACAAATCTATTAGAACAGACGTCAAAGATATTAATTGAGAGGAGGGTTTTAATTTAAATAAATCTCATATTAATGATTGAAATCGTAATTTTTAGTAAAAGGAGAACAAGTTCTCACTAGTTTGGTCTTAGATTTGTGACCCAAAAGGATTTTTTTTGGGGAATTAGGGTTTCCAATTTTGGGTTTCCTATCAAATTTCACATCACATATATGTGAATATATAGCAACTACCATAGAAACACAAAGCAAGAAATCCCAGACGACAACACTGAAACTGAGAAAATCAAGGAAAATTAACAAACAACATTTCAATCTACTTATAAACGACGAATTTATTAGAATAGATGTCAAAAATATTGATTGAGATGTGGGTTTCCAGTAAAATAAATCTCAGATTAATGATTAAAATTGTAATATTCAGTAAAATGAGAACAAGTTCTCACTTGCTTGGCCTTAGATTTAAGACTCCAAGGCTTTTTTAAGACCAACTTTTTCTTGATCTTCTTCAATGGTGACCTATGCTTAATCGGGTTTGGTATAGAAAGAGCCATGAACTCTTCTAAGTTTTCTTATTCTTCAACTTCTAAAACTTGGGTATCCTATCCTCCTCCTCCTGCTGTTATTGTTCGAGTTCCATCTTAGGACTCACTCACTTACTCACACACACACACAGACACACTCTCTCTATATATAAATCCTCACTGGCATCTCTATCTCTCTATTTCCTCACTGGCGTCTTTACCTTTCTATCTCATTACTGGCATCTTTTTCTCTATTTCTCTATCTCCTCATTGGCATCTTTATCTCTCCAACTCCTCACAAGGGTGTCTCTCTCTCTCTCTCTCCCCTCACTGGTGTATATGTATATACGTGTGTGCATATATATACCATATATGTGTAGAGAGAAGCACAAAGACAGATGTGAAGTAGCAGTCAACCCTGCTTGACACAGGCAAATCCGGGGCAAATGAGAAATAGTCAATAAATTTCAACCGTTTGTTTTACTTTTTAAATTTAAAATTTTTTCTACCTTTTTTGTTGGAGGATTCAATTGGAAGCATGATCATGAGCACGCAACATAGCACGGATATGACACGTACACGTCACGTGAAGGATACACATAAAATATATAAATTTACATATTTATTACATGTCATATCACCCTAGCTACAACCTTTGGTTGATGATTGTAAGTCTCTCCCAGGACGTAACTGGACTATCCATCTAAAACATGAATACCGAGTGGCAAACTCAATCACTGACATTGTTTCCTTTATCCCCTAACTTGCTTGTAATATTTCCCGCTCCTCCATGTTTTGTGCTTTCTTTGTTACTTTTTGACCAGGGTGGGATGGCTATCTCACATTGTGTAGCTAAGTCTTCCTTGTAATTGATCTTAAAGTTTATAATTTATTTCAATTTATTTCCAAAATCAACTTCAGTCCAATTTTAAATGAAAAATTCCTCAAAATTTAGATGAAAGTTTACTTTAGGAGCAAATTAAAAAAATTACCTATATTAAAGGTCAAAATGATAAAAAAATATTTTTTAAAAAATAATTACTTTTAAGAATCAAAAGTATAATAATAAAAAAACATAAAACTTAAAAGAGACAGTGTAATTGAAGCATTTTTTTTTTCTTAAGTTGATTTGTTATTTATTATGTTAATAAATTGGATTCATTTTGCATTCTAAAGTTTTATAATTGCATATCACATCATACCTAATATCTAATTGAGATATGAGAAGGTCTAGACAAAAAAAATAAATAAATAAAATTTGAAATGATACACTTTAATACCATGATAAATGTCACACTAATAAATAAGATGATTTTGTAATATACGTTAATTTGTACAATCAGAATTGACGAGCTTTAAAATAAAATGGGGCAGAAATTAACAAAGTGAAAAAAATATTTTTTGAGAAACTAGAGAGTGGATGTTTTTTATTTTTAATTTACCACGTATTACTTCCCCTCTATGCGTTTTAAGGTTAGCAAGTGGTCAACAAGCTCCAAAACACCTCCCTCTACCAACCCAACCAAGGATTCAACCAACCCAACCCAACCCAATCCAACCAGTCAACTTCTACTTTAATCACAAAGTGTGAACCATATAAGCCCGTTTGATTATCTAGATTAGAGATAAAGCACTGAGGATATAAAATATAATATAATACGTTTAAAATATGAGATGCATCATACTTATATATATGCTATGGAGTAAATTTTACTATGTTTGGTTTTATCAGAAATAATTTATTTTATCCACAAATTTCCGTTCATAAAAATATAACTTCTTACCTCACAAGGAAGATGATGGAAGAGAGAGAAGGAAGAAGATGAACAAATTAAATAGTAATGGCATGGTGCTCTCTCTCTCTCTCTCTCTATCTCATGATGAAATATTTTGCAATAACCAACCATGGTTTACATATCACAATTTTACAACATGTAGAGACAAAAATAATCTCAATTTGTGCTTTCTATGTTTCTTTTAAATGAACTAAAAATTCAGGATGAACAAACAAACTAACCACACAAAAAAAAAAAAAAGATTGCCAGGTGAAATCTCTTCCTATTTTTAGATCAGTTCAACTACAATGTTTATCCCTCACAAAGAAAAAAAAAGAAAAGAAAGGTGAATCAAATTCAGAGAAAGCAATCACAGCATGGAAGCAACAGGCAAGTGCTGTGGCTAAAATTTCAGCAAGGTTGGTGGGTGTACTATCGGTTCCTACCCCTAAAAAAAATAAAGAATTAGGTTAAATGTGCTATATACAGTGGGGCGCACGCAAGTTTTACATGTTATAATCTGAATGGAGGAAGCTTTCATATGGCGTTCCGTTGAGTGCCCTCTGGATATCATCCCAGTTCTCAACGTGTTGGGACAATGAACCTTTGTGTATCTTCACTTGCTGACTCTTCAGATCCCTCTGTGGAACCCTCAGAAAATCTTGGACATCCTTCAATTTCTGCAAAATACATGGAAAACAGTACTTTTGTATGGAAACAGAAAGAAAAATAAAAATAAAAATTGGCATCTTTTTAGGATCAACTGTTTTATAAGACGATGAAATGTCTTACGGTGGAATTTTTTATTATGTCCTCGTAGTATAGGATAATGTGTTGGGTGCTCTTGAAGTATTCTAAAGCTTTGGCAGTCATTTCCTCTACTTGCCTCAGATTGGGGATCAGCAGTGTTGTATCGATTGTAGGTTTATAACTTGCAAGTATTTCTGCCTGAAACAGTATCACTTATTCATGACACAGAGAGAAGGAGAGGGAGAGAGAGGGGGAGAGAGAATGACTTGTGAGAGAGAGAGACCTCATGGGATGAATGCACATGAGATTTATGTGTTCCATTCAGTGGCTTCGCATTTTGATCGTAAGAGTTTGCAAGAATTGAAATCATCCTGCGCAGAAGATTTCTTCTGAAGAGAAAAATCAATGAAACGCCCTTGGTATTGAAATATTCTACAATTTCTTCATGATGCTGCATTAAACCCTGCATTTAAAATAAAAAAATAAGGAAACCGTACTGTGGTTACATCAATTCAACATGCATGCAACAGAGGAAATTAACATTACAAAACTGAATTATAAGTTCATACACATTATTAATAACATCAGTAAGTAATGAGTGTGGTCAAATTGCATAATTTCAAGGTTGTCCGTGTCAGAAAGATGGAAAATTTAGCGGAAAACATGTTTTTTTAACAGGTAAAATTCTGCAAAATGAAAATTACAATGTTATCAATCTTCTGTTTAATCTGTTGCAAAATAACAGTTTAATCATTTGCCAAAAAGAAATTATGAAAGTTTGAAACTCATACTATATTCAGCACATTTAAAAGAAGACCATGGACCTCACAATTGAGTAGTAATAACTTGATCCACAAGAAGGTTTATCAACTCCAAGTCTGATTGCAGCATAAAATCAACACATCTGAAATGTTTTAGCTAAATTGAGCTTAACTTTTTCAATTTGGATGCAATGTATAGACTCCGTCAACCAATCCTAAAGTCAAGGCATTGAACTAACTGTCGCTATAAGTTGCACAAACAATTCTGGGGAGAGATTGTTGACAGCGATGTTTTAATAAGTTTAGAAAATACATTTTTGGAGGAATAAGTCCACAGAATGATTTAGAACATACGTCATCGAGCAGAATTACAGAAATTTTGACTTTGCCAGAAAAATTAGATTGTATGTTTCTTGGAACCAGGATTGGAAAATTTGGGGGCTAATTCTCGGTCAAGACACAGGCGATTACTTTATTTTAGTACATCAGGTAAAATTTACTTTGTAATTAGAACATTTGAGAAGTGCCTCTGTTTGTTCATCCAGAGGAAGTCCTTTTCCCCATTACTTTTCTTCCTCCTACACTCTGTAGCTCTTTTATTTAAAACAAAGAAATGAGTAATATTAATAATTTGAAACCTCCCTTGTCAATAGATGCGCATTGAATTAATTAGGATTTTATTCGATGGATCTATAACACCACCTCAATCTCTTCGGTCATTACGTTTAGAGTGGTGCAACTCCTGTCTTTCTCCTATTTGTCCTAGTCATTCATCTTGGAGGAAACATTAACCTCCATTATTGTCACAACCCTCTATTCATGTATAAGAGTGCATGAGGATTATATTTGTTTGTTCTCATAAAGAAACACCCTATTTACCAATAGTGTGTGGAATATCTGTGATTATGCTCAACATTATGTAATTGTTCTATGCAATAATTAGAAGATTACAGCTGGTTGCCTAACAAACTCACACCTGAAAAGCTTAATTGCTTGTCAAGATAATTCAATCTTCCAATCTAAGCCTAGTTTGACAAATATAAAAATATTTATATGATAATTAATCTAGGGTGCTTTTATCAGTGTAGCGTGGAACAGTTGACAAAACTATAAAATCAAACAATCATCATGTTCAGAGTTTGTATCGACTCTTAAGCAACCCAAGAATGAGGAGAGATCTGATTATTGAGACTTACACACTTCAGCTATGGTAGACATACCTATAATAACTACCAAATTGATGGCAAGTTATCTCATATGGAAAAATTGATAAACTAATTTGTAAGACAGGAAAAAGTTGAATAATTCCACCAAGGCATCACTCACCTGATTAAGCATCCATTTCAAGCCAACTGCAGCGGTGCACTCATTCTTGGAAGCACTGGTCAACCAGTCAAGATTGTAGATTTTATCCAAAGTTTCGACTATTGTTGAGATATTAGTCCTCCGGACTTTTACAGAGAAAATCTCTCCATTGGAGCTTACGTTTATATGACTATTTAATAATGTCTCAAACCATCCACTCCCGGATCTCTGAGTAGAGAGAATGGCAAAATATCTCACCGGGTTGCATTTACACTCATCCCTAATTATTCACATCACCATATATCAGTACATTGATATGAAATATAGACTCAGAATGACAATAATTAATGCCTTACCTGCTAAAAGTTTTGGGTTGCGGGTAATGCACATAAAGTTTTTCCCATGTTTCTATAATAGGTGGCTCACACGGTCTTTGGATCACTTGAACATTTAGCAATCCAAAATTTGTGCGGGTACTGATTTGCTTTAGACAGATTGAGCAGATATAAAGACCACATAGCATTGCAAATGTCAAGACAATCATTCTCAACACCAACGAGGGTTTCTTTGGAGCCTTCGTAATTATAGTATCCTGAAATTCAAATAATTAAACAAAAATATCCCAAGTAAAAAAAGAAAAAACAAAAAAAATTTGCAGGTATTTGTGAAATCATATCAACATGGTTAAAAGATATAATTATTTACACCACTCTCTACAAGCTTAATCTTTAAATGAGATGATTGCAAACAATTTAACATAGTATCAGAGGAGGCGCATTCATGTGTTTTAATCTTATTGCCTACCCATTAATACTTCCATGTGTTAGGACATAAATAATCAGATTAAACCTTTCTCTCTGTATAAGGGTAAGCAGATGAGATGATTGCCAACAAATTAACAAACCCTAACACATGAACTCAATCTTATTAATCTCCAAAGAGGCAATGTCAAGATATAAATAATTAAGTTACACCTTTCTCTCTCTACAAGCTTTAAGAAGATGAAATGGTTGTAAACAATTTAACAAAGCCTAACCCATAAACCCAGTCTGATTAAGCTCTAAAGGTTCCCCACATGTTCAATTCAACTTAACACAAAAAGAACTGGCCCTAAATTTAGTCAATCCTACGTGATTGAACTACCAAAAAACTGTAATAAAGCTGCAAAATAGAAATAATATCAATAAAACAAAAAATAAAAACAATATGGGTTTTGCTTATATTTCAATATATTGACTAAATTTAGGCAAACATTGCTAGACTATTCTAAACCAAAATCAGACGACAAACACATAACCAAGAAATAAAAAGAAAAAAACATTTTATCGAACACTACACATGCATTGCATATTCATAAAGATCAAAAAGAAGAAGAGAAGGAAGTTAAAACCCAGCATACCCTGATGCATAAACAGAAATCGTCAGCCATTTTTACCCCTTCAGAAAAGGAAGAGAAAGAAAGAAAAACTAAAAAAAGCAGAGTGTAGCCCAACTCCTCTCCTTTCTAGCTTTATTCATCAACTCCTCTCTGATATACATGTGTGTCTATAAACAAGAGAAGAGAGAGAGAGAGAGAGAGTATGATGATGGTGATGATGATGGGATGCTTCAGCCCGTTGCACGCTGTTTGGTTTCTTCAGATTTACACCTCCCTCTCTCTCTCTCTCTCTTCTCTTGTCTTCTCTTCTCTTTTCCCCCACTCTCTCTCTCCCTCTCTGTTGTGATCCAAATGCGAATGAGGAAAGTTGAAGACGATGATGGAAGCCTTAAAACTGCGTCGTTTTGGCAGCAACGTCACTTTGATTAGTTAAAAAAAATTTAATTTTAAATTTTTATTTTATTTCGATAACGTGCCCAATTTGTGAATTTGGTTTTGGACCTTTATAAAGTCCAACATAAAAAGCAATAAAGCTACTTTCAACGTGAACTCATTCATCAGAAACTGTAATAAAATGGTAATTATAATGATGAGGTCTTGACTTTTATTGTGCTTTTTAATTTTCTAAAAATCTTTTTGTTTAGCTTTTAAATTTCTAAAATCTTTGTTTTGCAATGATGATTAATCAAATGTTTTAACGTCCGGCTTTTTGTTTTACCATTCAGCGATTCTTTTGACTGACAACCCAACGTTTTAGGGTAGAAAGTTTTAAATATTTTTAGAAAAATTATATATATATAATTATAACTTGAGATAAAAAAAAAATTAAAATTTTAATTTTGACAAAAAAATAAATTAAGATACCAGAGACAATTTTATCAATCATTCCCTCTCTTAATCTTTACTAAAAAAATAAAATAAAAATCTACATATTAGTATATTAATATTTATATTTTTACATAAAAAGCACAACTCAATATTTATAAATATCTTATCACACAATTTTAATTATAAAAAATTCACACAATATTATATTTTTTTCAAATATTTGTAAGGACAAGAAAATATAAACACTAAACCAGTAGCAATCACTCACTATGCACAACTCTCTTTCTGCTTAGTCACAATGCTATGGACACTTTTAATTTTTGATTTTTTGGTTAAAAAAATACAAAAGATAAAATTGATTATATAAGTTAATAAAATAAAAAATCACATATAAATCATAATCATTACACTTTTTCTTTTACAAAAGTCAACAAAGTCAAAAACAAAAATCAAATGAGGCTAAAAAAGTTAAGATAAAATAACTAAAAAGTTAAAAAATCAAAGTATTTCCCAACAACCAATCCCTTGTTCCACCATTGCTACAAGCAAGGCAACCAATGAAGCGTGGACACGGACACGCGACACGACATGGACACACGGACACGCAAATTTTCAAAAAATAGGAGACACGACACGCTGGGGACACGTTCAATAAATATAATTAATTTTATTTATTATATGCCATAAAATTATTAAAAAAAAATAATTAAAAGGTAATAAAATATACAAAATAACACTATTAAAATTATAAAAAATAAACATTTAATTGATTTAACATCATATATATCATTCACAAATAACATAAAAGAAAAGAAAAAATCAAATCAAATCAAAATATAAAAAATAAAATAAAATAAAATATAAAATAAAATCAGAATATAAAAGAAAAGAAAAAAAAATAAAATCAGAACATAAAAGAAAAAAAGAAAAGAAAAGAAAAAATAAAATCAAGAGAGAGAGAGAGAGAGAGAGAGAGAGAGAGAGAGCGACTGAGGGAAAGAAGATCAGACAGAGGCTGAGAGAAAGATAGAGAAAGAGAGAGATAGCAACTGAGAAAAAGAAGAAGAAGAATGAAGATCGAAGAAGAAGAAGAGCAACGTGTGCCTTAACGAGTGACGACGGATGAGGAGCGAAGACGAACGACGAATGACAAATTGATCAGGTCCTCTTTTTTCTCCCTTTCTCTTATGTTCTCCCTTTCTATTCTGTTGTAATCGATTAGGGCAGATATTGCTCTATTTTTACTTATTTACAAATCAACCCCAAAAAAGTTGGGTAAATTGTGAAATTATCTCCGAACGTGTCCCGAAAATGTCTATAACGTGTCCAGAACGTGTCAGGAAGTAAAAAAAAAAATTAAAAAAATTGGACACTTTGTACTGCGTGTCGGTCACGTGTCCACCGCGTGTTCGATGCGTGTCTGTATCCGACACTGGTATGGAGCCCTCGGAGAGCTGCCCGTGCTTCATAGAAGGCAACACTATCATCGCCCAGCCCCTTGCTAACAAGCAAGGCTTGATTATCAAATGTCATTAAAACATTATTCTATATGATTTTTTTTTTTAATGTGGTTTTTGCTTCTTTTTTTTTTCTACTTTTTTATTGGTGTGATTAAGAATAGAATCAGATTCTACAAATTCTTTGTATTTGGTACTCAGCTATTTTGTGAGATTGATGCATGCAAGAAATTATTGTCAGTATTCTAGTTTAAATGGTAGTCTAGATTAATTGTTATTACTCTAAGCCAAGTTGCGGGATTCAACATGTCACCTATTTTAATGATTTAAAGTTATTCATTTGGTAAATTTACTATTTATATTATTTAAGAAAAATTGACTTTGTAATCTTAATCTCTTTCATTTATGTTTTGTAATCTTAATCTTAATCTCTTTAATTTATGTTTCCATTTTTTTTATTTTATTTTATTTTTTTTGTGACAAAGGTGGTAAAATGAAATGATTTTCAATATTGGATTGATCTTTTTTTATTTATAAATAATATACATAAAGAATCTTAAAAAACAAATAATTTAAAAATTAATGTGACTCATGATCGGCTTTATGGGTCTAAGTAACATCCTCCAACCTAAGCACTCGTTTGGGAAGAGGTTATGAGACTAAAATAGTCACAAAAAAAAACAAATGATGATTTGGGATATTCTAAATAAGTGTACTTTTGACTTTTTATATAAAAAAAAAATTGTAGAAAAGTAGAGAAAGTGGTTTGAAAAGTAGAGAGGAGATGTTGATAGATGTGATCTAAATAAGTGTATGTATGTAAAAAAAAAATGCACCTTTTTAGTTCTTTTCAAACAAGCACAAAATAAGTTAAAAAGTTAATAAGACAAAATGTCACATCCAAACCATAATCATTTCATTTTTTCTCTCACAAAAGTCAAAAAAGTTAAAAAGTCTATTCCAAACGAGACTTTTTAGCCCCAGGTTAGGCTTCGTTTGGGAACAGATTATTTTAGTAACTTTTTAACTTTTTACGAAAAAAATATGTAAAAATGTAGAGAAAGTGATGTGATAATTTATAATGACTTTTGACTAAAATATATAATTAACAAACGAAACCTAAAATAACTAAAAAGTTAAAAAATCAAAAAGTCAACCCACGTACCAAACCAACCCTAAATTAGAAGAGAGGCTCATCTCCTTGCCAATGTATAAAGCCCTATAACAGAAGGGTACAAATTCGGGTGACTCGTGACGGCTCTGGAAGTTCAAGAAAACCTCTCTTATGAAAAATAACCCGTATAAATTCTTGATCGCCGTGATCAGGTCCTTCGAAATAAGATTATACCTCTTGTAAAAGTCTTATGGAGAAACCATCGTGTCGAAGAAGCAATGTGAGAAACTGAAAGTCAAATGCAAGTTAAATACTCACACCTCTTCAAAAACCAAGGTACGTCATGTTTGGGGACGAACTTCCTTTGAGGAGAGGAGAATTGTGGCACCCGAATTTTTACCATGATTATATTAATATGAATAATAATAATAATAATACTAAATAAAAAAAATTAAAAAAAAACATAAATAAATAAATACAATTCTTTAGTATAATATTTGAAATCTTTGCTAAAGGGATAGATTATAGGACACTGCATGTTTAATATTAAATATTTTAGTAAGCGGTAAGTGAAGTTTTATAGTGTGGTGGTGAGATTTTAGACGAGAACCTAACTTTTAATTATACGTAATTTTAAGGATCATTGTGGATTACCAAAGAAGGTAATAACACTTAGAATGGTAAAAAAAGTCAAGGAGTTAGTGGCCCCTTGGACAAATTCGTGAGGTAAAAATACATGTGGCATCACTGAGTAGAAACGTGTTCAAGAAAGGGAGCGACGTGGCAGCCATGAAGCTTAGGACTTGCGTAGCAAGCAAGAGAATGGGGGCTATAGATAGTGAAATACTTGTGCAGTGAGCTTCAGAAGTAAGGACAAGAAATTGGAATCCATATTGGAATCCATTCGTAGTAAGGTGAGCTTTGACAAGTGAGGGAGTATAGCTGGGAATTGTAATAGAAAACTCAAACTTAAGGGTCAATCTTAAGATCAGTTATATTATACCTTGACTTACCATAATATGTTTTCTATATGTCTTGAGTTACCATAATATATTTTACGAATGTTTTGAGTTACCACAAATTATTTTATATAATTTATGTTTTAAGGTTATGTTAATGTTTCAATTACGTAAAATAATTTTTTGAACTTTATTTGCTTAAATTGAAACCATGGATATATGTATTTAAATTTTAGAAATTATTTGACAGAGATTTTATAAATAATTATGTTTTGTAAGTACCACCACGGGAGTCCCACGCCTTGAGGGACTTAAATAAACCATTGGCCCCTATTTGGCCACCTTGTGGTCCTCTGTTTGTTATGAATCCATTGACCCATGTTCTGATTATCACTCCAGTGACCCCTGTTCCGTTCTGTCCTGTACCGTGGTTATAATTATTTACGTAATTCCTGTATTTCAGTTTCTGCCATTTAAATAATTTAGTTATGCAACTTAAATTATGTTAATGTTTTAGCTTAAATAACTATTCATGGCTATTTTGTGCCCTTATACTCACAATATAATATTTCTCACTATGCCATGTGCTTATAGCTGTTACCCTTTTCAGGTGACGAGACTTAGCAGGATCAAGATGGAAGATAAACCACAGTGTTTTCTTTTTCTTTCTTTTTTTTTTTTTTGTACTATCTACATTTCTAATTGGACACCTGAAATAAAATAAAAGCCCAAATGACTATGTTTGTTTGCTTTTAACAAACATTCGGTACCTAATTATTTTATTTTAATTTATTTAATTTATCTGCTTACGCTACGACTACAAAATTATTTGAATTATTTTATTTTCATCTTGTTGCGACGTCAAGCCTTTGGGTATCGGGTTTGGGTCGTGACAAAAGTGGTATCAAAACTTTTACCAAAAAAAATTCCTGAGTGTCTATTAATAAAAATATATA